TCCTTATGAAACTTGAAATCCCTTCACAATTATAAGTAGACTTATGAGTGACTTTCATTTCCTTCTATGCAACCTAAAACAAAAAGACATGTACTTCTGTAATATCTTGACCTGTGTTATCCCACAAGCTTATAGGAAGGAGAGATTATCCAACCTTAGACCTGTTTCCATAACTATGAAATACACTGGAAAACACATCATGTGCTTATGTAGGAAAGGGCATTGTGTCTACAATATTGTGTCCATGACCTTTTGTAAAGGCAACTTCAGTCAAGTCTTAGTTGTCAGTTTTGTCAACCCGTAAAACAGGGTCAGTTTTAGTGATTCAGCCTAGCATAAAAATGAAGCTCCAGGGCCCTCCCTGGTGGCACAATGGATTAAAGCACCATTCTATGAAGCTACCGAAGGCATTGCAGCACAAGTTCGATCCCCTGCCAGAGAGGTGACTCACATGGTGAGCAGACCTCTCCTGATGCACCCACTGCTCCCCTCAGCAGTGTGCTTCATCAATCTTCCAGTTCCTGCTCCCCACTCTGTCTCTGGTGAATCCTCTCACTGCCCCTATACCTCTGGCTTGTACCCCAGTTCTGTATGCATAAATAAATAAATATTTTTTTTAAAAAAAGCAAATGAACTAGCAAAAGTTAAAAGTAACAAAAATACTGACAATAAGACTATACTCTAAAACTCTGAAAATAAAATGATGTTAGCAGAAAGGAAGGAGAAAGGGGGTTAGGAAGAATGTCTGAAGGGGCCAATTTCATAGTAGTCAATGTCACTTAAGTGCACCCCAGCTTCCAGGATAAAATTCAAATTCCTTAGATATGCAAGAAGCCTTGGTCTCCTCTGGTTCGTCTGCCACCACTTCCCTGTCTCCCACGCCATCCCTTACCACCAGCTACACTGAAGAAGTTATAGTTTTCCAAAGGACTCGACTATTTCAGTTTCTGAAGCTTCACGTGTATATTTCCATTTGTTTGGAACATTTTGGCCCTGGCAAGATTATCTATCCAAACACCAATGTTGTTTAACGATAATTCCATTTAAAGAATTCAACTGGTAGTATGTTTATCAAAATTAGCTGCTATACTTGGTACCATGCAATAATTGCTTCCTTTTCAGGGATGCTGTGGTCTCATTATGTGCCACTTTCTCCTTGATCCACAGGTCACCAGTCTCTCTGCACCTTGGTTCTGCTACTGCAATGTATTAAGTAGTAATAAAGGCTTTCAGAATTCCCTTTTCTTCCCCTTTTGGGAAAATAGCACTTAGGTTTTATTAACGATGTGTGAATAGGAACTAACAGGATAGCACTTAGTTTTTATTAACGATGTGTGAATAGGAACTAACAGGATACTTCTTAGTCCAGATTCTAATAAATATTATCTTGCTAAGGCAAGATAGTTAAACTTCTGTGAGCCTCCATTTGTATGTTGAGGATGTACCCTGTACATGAGGGTATTAGGAAGAGGCTTATTGAACTCTCCCCTAGGTTTCAAATGAAATAAAAGAGCAAGTAAAGAATTTTTAGATTCTAGATTACAGTAATTTGAATTACTCAGTAACTACCTCAGTAAGTACTCAGCCCTGGCTAGAGATATTACCCATGAGGCCTCCCTAGTCACATAGGGGTTAAAGGCAGCGCTATCAAGTTATTGCCAGCCACTACAACATGAATTTGATCCCCAACCAGGGAGCTGACCCACATGGTACAGCATAATTCTCCTGTCTTGCCTACTGCTTCCCTCAGCTGGGTATTTTAGTACATCTGCCTGTTCTTGTCCCCATATTGTCTTTGATGAATCTTTTCATGCCCCACACTTCTGGCCTACATACCAGTTAATATATGCATAAATAAAAATAAATCTTAAAAATATAATGCTGCCCATGAATCTACTGTTGTACAATATCCTATGATATGGCCATGCCACCATTCATATTTGGGACCTTAAGGTCAATCTTCCCATTTGCTTAGTCTCTGGAGCCATAAAGACAAAAGATAAGAGAGAATCCCTTACCTCACTCTGCAGTATAACCTTACGGGCCTTGGGTAATCCTGGTCACAGCAGAACGGAAGTTGAAAGTTTCTTTCCCTACTAGCAGGGAAGTCAGCGAACTGAACAGTTGACACTAGTGAAAGAGATGCTCTGGTTCACTGGTGGGTGACACCACAGAACAAAATAGCAAAATGAAAATAAGACCAGTCCAATGAAATCATCTAGCAGGCCAGGGAAGACTGGTGAACTTACTTTAAATGCAACCAGAGCTATGTATACTGAAGACTACCAAAAGCCAAACATGATATTAAGGGCTTTTTTGGTCAACAATTCCTGTGGTTCTCACAAGTCCTTGTAAAATGTGCTGCAACATATCTCCATTGGACATATGGAAGCAACATCAAAAGGGAGATGCCTCCACAAAAAAACAGACTTGCTAGGTGTCAGTCAATGTTTGAAAAGGAGCCACTATACGTCTTTACCCAAAGATTAAGAGATTGGGGGGCAGAGGGCCCTCTCTGGTGGCACAGTAGGTTAAAGTACAGCAGTAAGAAGCTAAACCACTTCAACATGATTTCCATCCCTACCCTGGAGGTGATCCACACAGCACAGCAGGCTTCTCCTGACCCGCCCACTGCTCTCCTCAGCAATGTACTTTGTCATTCTGCCTGTTTGGCTCTCTCATTGCCCCTGCACCTCTGTCCTGTACCCCAGTTCTGTATGCATAAATAAATAAATCTTTAAAAAAGAGAGAGAGAGATTTTGGGCAGTTATTTATGCATGAAGGCAGGGCATTTGACTGGTGAAGTCTTCAAGACCTTAAAAGGAATTTTGTTCAGCTCTTTAGAGACACATCCTGAGTGGTGGGTACTGGAGGCTGGACAGGAGCTGCCTACTTCATAAGCAACTTTTCAAGGAAATTTCATAGAGAACCCTTCTCATTTTTTTTGGCAACCCACCTCTTTTCCCCTTTCTTCTTCTTCCTCTTATCCTTCCCTAGATTCCCACCCATGCACACTGCATCTTTTTCATATAAAAACCTTAATTCTCTTTTCTTCCACAAGAGAATTGAACACCCCACAAAACCAATTTCCACATCCTTTGGCTCTGTTTTGTTTCTCCTTGATGGTAGCGTTTCCAAACATTTGTCAAAGTGGAGGGGATATGTTGGAACTTTAAATGCATAGTTGGGGTGGGGAGGGAAGCAAAATCCTCTACTCTAGATAGGGCTAATCCATCAAAGCAACTTGTTAAATTTTGTACTTGGAACCTTGTGATAAGGCAAATTAACACAGAAGGGTGTCTGTTATTAGGTATTTGACTTAAGTTTAAGATTAGTTTCCACTTCTTTCTTGAGAGTATATTTTTAATGTAATTTTTTGTTAAGTGGGAACTACTGGGAAATTTGGTAGTTTGGAGACATGCAGAAAGGGCATGATAATGTGAGCAAGCAAAAAACAGGGAAGGCTGTGTTGGTTTTGTTGTATCCTTGAGCAAGTAAGGTTATATTTACTTCTTAGACCACAAGCTTGAAATACTCACATAATTTCACTCTCCAGAGCAATCTAACGATTTGTTCCCCTGAACTATTTATTCTTCATCCTCTTCTCACTAACTATGCCTGCCTTCTCCATAGTCACACCCACTTGATCTAAATTATATCTTCTTTTGCACAAAACATAAACTCTAGCACTACCTGTGAGTAAGGATAAAATTCTCTCATCTTTCATTTGCTGTGGGTTCAAAATATAGATCTGAACATTATGCATACATCACTGAGAATTCAATGAATTCTGTACCTTCAACCTCTACAACTCTTCAATCTCTACAACTATTCTCTAACAAGATAGGAGACCAGGACAAACTGTTAAAGCTCAATATTAAGATGTCCATGGGATTCAAGGTTAACTTCAAACCTAAGCATGCCCAGAAAGTTAGTTTTTTCAAAGGATTCCAGTATCACTGAAGAAATTAGAAAGCCTGTAAGCAATGAACATAATGGCAGCAAGTGGCAAGCCCTTTGGCAGCAAGAGAAGAGATGCTAAGTAGCAGAGAATAAACAATAATAAAGGGAAGCAAAAGCTGCCACCATACTGCAGTGAGCCAACAGGAAATATCACTTGCATCAGTGCAGTAGGACTATTACTAGACATGTTACCCAACGACCCTATGCAAAAGGAGATGAAAAGTAGGGATATCTAAGTCATGGAGACCTTACTATGGTAATTATTACCTACTATTATCTTTTTCAAATTTAGGATGGTTTATGAAAGATTAAACCACATTCTATTTAACTTTACAACTGTCTATTCACCGACCTTCTCCCCAAACTTCAAGAATATATGACTTAAAGAAATCTGTGTTATAATAAGATACTCCAGGCTGCTGCAACCTATTCCAAAGACTCTGAAACTGAGCTATCCTTCTAGAAGCTGATGTATTTACCTGCTGACTGCAACAGACCAAGAATTCTAAGAGACCCCAATTCAAGACATATCCAATGAGAGTGGAAAAGGTTCAACATTTAACAAACTATGCACTTTTTTGTTTTAAATTTTCCCTGTGAACTTAGCAATGTTTAGGGAAAATAAATGTAACATTAACAAGGTCATGTTCAAGATTACCACTTAATCTAAAACCCCATACTTGACAATTAACTTACTGTCAATAAGTCATTCAAGGTTTCTCTTAAAATCCCTACTGAAGTGTTTTTTTCCCTTTTTTTTTTAAAATACTGCTGAATCTATATCACATTAGAAAAACCTCTTAATAGAAAGTTGGCTGTAACTGATAGAATAAGTGAACTCCTTTCCAATTAAGTAATTTTTTAACTGTAGATGACCATTCTATATCCTATTTTTGATTGCCAATGCAAATGAGTCAGAGGATTTGCTCAGACACTGAGTTAATTGTGTAACTCTACAGCAGAGACTGCCATTGGAGAGTACTTGCTGACCTCATAGTTGAAAAAACCATTTAAAAGATGTGAAAACCAGATGTTTCAGTCACATTTCGGTTGCTGCTCTGAGAATTTGTACTGAGCAGCCTCTAACAGCCTGGTACTCCTTTACAATTGAGAAATGATCATCTTACTTTACTTATTTGTCTTGCTGTTGAAAGAGGCTCATGGATGGGGAATCAAGGATGGAATTTTTCATAACTCCATATGGCTTGGTAAGAAACTTCTCTCATGAATTTCACATTGGAAATTTCACTTCTTTAAATTCATGGAGAAGTGAGTTAACTTTTCTGTTCTGTTCAAGGTTTTTGATATTTTCCAAGAAAAATGCTTAGGATAGATAGCCATTGGAATGCTTATAACTATTTTTCAAAAATGTTTGTGCCTTCTAAAACTTAAAAATAGCTTTTTATAAAGTTAATTGTGCAGTAGAAAAATAGAAGTTAATACTTATAATTCAATATCAAAATATACCTTAAAAGATTTCAAAGCACACACATGGTGTTGTCAGGACTGTTTCTTTAATAAAATAAAAACACCAGTACATTATTCTGGTTTTATTTCAATGCATTTGCAATAAAGATTTCAGAATTCTGAGAAGTAAACTAGAGTATACAATATTTGCATATTCATTGCTCTATGTATCCTGACCTGTGGTATATATCTTGCTTTTGAAATATTTGTTAACTAATTTGACAAAACCAGCTTGCAATACAGGAAAAAATGAAAAAAGATTTGTATTTCTGAATGCATTCTTACCATTTTCACTTCTTTTGTTCAAGCTGTCCTTTTCTAACCCTTTTGTTAGACAAAGAAAATTTCTTTGCTTATTTTGTTTTGTTAATTGTAAGGAAGGCCTAACTGTGAATATAAACAATAGACCAAGAAAGGCCAAATACAGAAAAGCCAAACACCCTGCATAGTACTGTAAACAATGCTTTAATTCTCATGATATATAAAAATTACCATTTCTTTATATTCATTATCATATCTGATAGTGAAAGTAAATTGTAACTGCTCAAAAAAAAATCTGTTGGATTCTTGTATAAAATAAATAAAGAGAAAGCAAAATTTAACCTAGATCATGGTTTTCTGCTTGCTAAACACAGTTGTAGAATATTTCCCTGTTCAGTGAGTTTCTCTCTGGTTATAACTGCAGCCATGCGGATTTCATTAAAACTTCAATTTGCAATGCACAGCCTTACTGGCTTTTTTTATTCTTGAGCTAGTGAACTCTTGGTGTTTAACACTGAACAGCTCAATCCCTTTGACCAAGATGGGTTCTGGGATTCACCAGAGGAATGAAAAAGTCTCTTTGTTTATTTTCATTGCACACCATCAAGCTTAGAGAATATACAGATATTTGTCAAAAATGAAAAAAGCCAGGAAAAATTAAACCCATATGGATAAACTTTGAAATTCTGCCAAACCCTGTAATGGTTAGAGTTTTTTTTTTTTTAATGAAGTTATATATTACAGAAACATAAATCTGGACAATAGAAGTTCTGTCCTCGAGGTAGGGAGGAGCAAATCCAAATGTTTGTTAATAGTATGCTGCAAATCTTAGGCTTTGGATAAATGCAAATTGTTTCAATCTGGGACAAATTGTTGAACAGTCAGCCTAGCACAAATTGTTCACAGTTGGCTCTGTCAATATAGTTTTAGAAACTGTGGGGCTGGGGGATGGCGGCGGTGAAGAGTTGATTTAGAAGGCAGGACTCTTCCAGCAAGTATCAAGAACAAGGCACTTTAAACTCTTAGTCTCATTCCATGCTGGCAATATTAGAAGATTGAAATGGATGACCCCTAAAGTCTATTTTTAACTCTGATAATCTCCAATTCCTTAAGTAGTAAGGAAAAGAGAATTCAACTATTTATAGTTTATGTGGATTACGAAAATCCAAAATGCACAAAAATTTCTTTTCAAACACTATTGGAGCTGAAAACGGAGAAAGGAAGGAGAATCTTATCAAGGGCTCCTGCTAGGATGTGAAAGCTATCATTATGTATTTTTTAATATATATATATATATACATATTTATTTAATTTTGCATACAGAACTGGGGTACCGGCCAGAGGTGCAGGGGTGGTGAGAGGATTCACCAGAGACAGAGCCAGGAGCAGAACAGGCAGATCGATGAAGTACACTGTTGAGGGGAGCAGCGGGCAGGCCAGGAGAGGTCTGCCAGACCATGTGGATCACCTCCTGGGCAGGCGGGGATCGAACTCATGCTGAAGTAGCTTTAGTTTCTTAGTGCTGTGCTTTAAACCGCTGTGCCACCAGGGAGGGCCCTTAAATATATTTTTTAAAGATCTGGTCTGGGGCACAGACCAGAGATGCAGAGGCAATGAGAAGATTCACTATAGTCGGAGTGGGGAGCAGAACAGGCAGATTGATGAAGTACATTGCTGAGGGGAGCAGTGGACAAGACAGGAGAAATCTGCTACACCATCTGGGTCACCCCCTAGGCAGAGGTCAAACTCACACTGAAGCAGCCATGGTCAGTTTTGCAGTGCTGTGCTTTAACCCACTGCATCACCAGGGAGAGCCTGATTATTGATTTTAATGGTATATTTATTACTAAAAATAAATATCACCACTCCCACTTCACAGATAAGAAAACCTAGATTCAGGCATAATTTATACAAGATCTACAACTTGTCTATGACAGAAGTAGGACTGTCATAAATCATTACTTGCTAAAAGTAAAAAGTTCTTGGTTAAAAAAATTATGTTTAAAAATATTTAGTTTTAATAAATAAATATTGACTAGAAAAATTAACATTATGTTTTTATCTGAAAGATCAAACTTTATTTTTAAAGATATAGAGCTGGGATACAGGCCAGTGGTGGGGTACAGGCCAGAGGTGCTGGGGTGGTCAGAGGATTCACCAGAGACAGAGTGGGGAGCAGAATATGCTGACTGAGGGGAGCTGCGGGCAGGTAAGGAGAAGTCTGCTGTGTCATGTGGATCACCTCCAAGGCAGGGATGGAACTCATGCTGAAGTATATTTAGCTTCTTAGTGCTGTGCTTTAACCCACTGTGCCACCAGGGAGGGCCTGAAAGATAAAACTTTTAAGATTACACTCAAAATACAAAGGAGTGTTTTAGTAATTTCAAGATCTGAATTGAGGAACAATTTAAAATAAATGACTGATTAAATTTGTCAAATACCAAAGTCTCAAGATAATAGGAAATTTGGTACTCTCTCAAGAACAATGTGGAATATGAATCTTATTTAATAAGTCAAAAGTTTTGCATATGTATTTTTGCTATGTAAATTACCATTATTACTAGACAAGATTGAAAAAATATTGGGAAGAAAACTTAAAATTATTTTTTTTTAAAGATTTATTTATTTATGCATACAGAGCTGGGGTACAGGCCAGAGGCTCGGGGCGGTGAGAGGGCTCACCAGAGACAGAGTGGGGAGCAGAACAGGCAGATCGACGAAGCACACGCCTGAGGGGAGCAGCGGGCGGGTCATGAGAGGTCTGCCACGCCATGTGGTCACCTCCCGGGCAGGCGGGAATCAAACTCATGCGGAAGTGGCCTTAGCTTCTCAGTGCAGTGCTTTAACCCGCTGCGCCACCAGGGAGGGCCGAAAACTTAAAATTATTTAAAAATATAGTTGTTAATCGTTTTCCTGAAAACTTCGTATTTTGAAGAAATACCAAAGAAAATCTTAGTTTGAGAAAACTTGGAAAGCAAACTATTCCCACAAAAACTTTTTCAGGCCCTCCCTGGTGGCACAGCGTGTTAAAGCACTGCACTAAGAAGCTAAAGCCACTTTAGTATGAGTTTGATTCCCGCCTGCCCCGGAGGTGACCACATGGTCTGGCAGACCTCTCCTGACCCGCCCGCTGCTCCCCTTAGCAGTGTACTTCATTGATGTGCCTGTTCTGCTCCCCACTCTGTCTCTGGTGAAGCCTCTTGCCACCCCTGAGCCTCTGGCCTATACCCCAGTTCTGTATGCACAAATAAATAAATCTTTAAAAAAAAAAAAAGATCTCTTAGTCTACATAATTTTAACATTTTTAATAATTAACAATCTCTATTATGGTGTAGAAATATATTAAACATGTCTCCTTTTCTACTAAAGCCTTGGTATTCCTGGACTTTAAAATAAAGATATATATATTGCACACTTGTGTCTAAACTTGAGCACAGAACCTGATCTACAGCACCTAACAAAGTACCTCTTGCTATAGTCTCAAAATAACCAACTTGGAACTAGTTAAAGTGTAGTTAATGAGGCTTTACCATATGAAGTACACTTGGATGGTAGTTGACTTTCAAAGGAGAAAACAAATTTTATGGGCCTTGTGTTTTCTAACCTTAAATATCATCCTGGTCAAGGTCCTTCATGACCATAAACTATAAGATGTATATGAGTAAGATTCCTTGGAATCTGGAAAAACTGGAAAAGTGCCAAGCAGCATCACTTATTGAACTGTGGTAATGTCAATTTCAGCTTGGGAAAGAGAGGAGTGAAATTCCTAATGCTACTGGATTCATGCTTTGCTTGCTGCAAGGAGTATGTGTTCTCATTGGAAAAGCTCTTTTTTTTAAAAAAAATATTTGTTTATTGACACATACAGAACTGGGATACAGACCAGACGGTCAGGAGCGGTGAGAGGCTTCACAAGAAACAGAGCAGGGAGCAGAACAGGTAGATAGACAAAGTACACTGCACTGAAGTGGCTGCAGCCAGCTTGTAGTGCTGTGTCCTAACCTGTTGCACAACCAGGGAGGGCCTCTTGGAAAAGCCTTAGTGGTGAGGGGTTGCATAGGTCAGGGAACAAAGACTTTATCTGTCTATCAAACTATTGAAGGTAATGCTACAATTATTGTCCTGGCAATTTTTCTCATTGTTTCTACAGCAAAATGTACACCCAACTCAAAGCAACCAATTTAAATAATTGTCTACTAGAAACAACTCATATATGACTTCATACTACCTAAAATGTGTTGGGGGACATCGCCCTCCGTGGTGGCACAGTGGGCTAAATCACAGCACTAAAAAGCTAAAGACTCTTCAGCATGAGTTTGATCCCGACCCCAGAGGTAACCCACAAGGCTCAGCAGACCTCTCCTGACTCACCTGCTGCTCCCCTTGTACCTTGTCAGTTTACATGTTCTGCTCCCCACTCTGTCTCTGGTGAATCCTCTCACTGCCCCTGCACTTCTGGCCTGTGCCCCAGCTCTGTATGCACAAATAAAATAAATCTTTAAAAAAAAATGTGTTGTCATGTCTTTTGCAGCAACTTGGATGGAGCTGGAAAGATCATGCTTAGTGAGATAAGCCAGAAAGAGAGAAAAATACCGGATGGTTTCACTCATAGCAGGAGTATAATGGACCAGGCGAGAAAA